GGGTATCTTCTGGGATTGCAACCAACAGTACATTATAATCTGCCATTTTGCGTATTTGCATAATTACTGGCAGTGTCAAATATCATGATTGTACAGGTTAAAAGTTCCATGAAATTGCCTCTTTTGACAATCGAATTCGTCCCCGGCCTCTAAAAGAAAGTAATTAAGCTCCTTTAAGTACTTTTGAATCGAAAGAGATATATTAGCAGGGATGGTCATGCATGTTACTGATTACCACGATCAACTGCAGGCGCCGTCGTCTTGTAACTACCTACACTGAACAGTAAACAATGTTTTTAATGAAGATGAAGGAATTATCGTCGCAGTGAACGCAATTTATGCAATTGCGTAAAGAAGCCTGAAAAAAATTCAGGACTTCAACGGGGTTTGAACCAGTGACCTCGCCATACCGATATTCTGTGTGCGAGGAGTAAATCGTTTCTAAGGAGACCAGGAGGCTCAGGCTATTCCCCTACCATTCTTATCCAAACTGCTTCTTTGGTAGGAATAAATGGTGATGATAAAGGATAAAGGTATAAATGGTCTCATGGAAGTTTGCGCGAGAAAGAGAATTAACCAACTTGAAAATAAGTTACACTGCAGTTTTGATTAACAACAACTAAACTCTGTTTAAAAACCATAGCGATCATACCTTGGCAGGTTGGTGACGTTTCTCTATATTGCCAAGTTCCATTTTCACGACACACTCTTGTATCAGTCGTTACGATGCTTTCTGGGAAGTGAATGTTGTATCCAGGTGGACAGATCAGCGTACAGACTGCGTCAACTGGCGACTCCCTGTCACCACAAGTTGCTGGGCTGTAATAACCGACACTTGCAGGGCGAAGCACTGGACACGTGATCGCTAAGGCAGAAAGTTACAAAAAACGATTAGATACATGACGCTTGTCATATATAAACTATTACAATATACCAAACTAGTAAATAGTGCTCTTCGCGCACCGGTGAGTTGGAAGTTTTTTCCTCAGTACTATTCACTTTCAAGTAATTTGTTAGCAAAAATAGGCAACAATCTCCAATTGTCTGCACTCTCGGAGACCTTAGAAATGATGTCGAAATGTTCAATACTCAAATGAAACACCGTTTCAGCTCAAAGTTATCCCGCTAGAGTAAACAAACCTTAAAATATATTTCCTTCCTTAGTCCTGAATACAACAGTCTCTATCCCAACAGCGAATGAATCCTTACAATGAATGTCCAAGCCTAGGTTTCATGCTTAAAAATATTTTCAATTTGATAAGAAAACTAACGACCAAGCAGTCATGTTGGTGAAATTGGGTGAAACTAGGTGAAATTGGGTGATATTTCTCGTTTTGGAAGTGAATCTTATTGCCTAAGTTTCAGTGTTTACTTTGTTTCAACTCTGAGCTGAAACAGTTATTGTAAACTACAGTTTAACATCTATTAAACCGCCACCCTCGGGGTACCGGAAAGTGGCCGCTCAATGGAGATTGGCTGCTCAAAGAGGTTCGTCATTGAATAGCATAACATGGGCATTATCTCAGCAGTCAGCTTCAGGATGGCACACTGTGCATGCTAACCATGATTTTCGCCTGAGGATCGTTTATCAAACATTTTGTGTTATCATAAGTCGAAAGCAGAGTTTTTTTCTTTCTTTCTTACGGTTGCAGACTGGAGGAGAAGGAGACCACGTTTTGTCCAGCTGACATGTGATTGTTTCACTGCCTGATCGTTCATAGCCTCTGCGGCAGTTGAAGCTGCACCTTGTTAGGTATGTCAGTGCGACTGTTGTGCAGGTGCCAGTGGGTACTGTAGCGTTAGCCACATATGGTATCTCGCAACGTCTCTCTAGAGAAATAATCACAAAAACAAATTGACAAAATAGCAAATAAAGTTACGCGTCTGAGTGTTTGAGTTCTACCTAATTGGTAATAATAGTTCCTTTCGTCCAAGAAAGTTTTTCACAGGAAGGTTTTCTCGTCTGTAATTGCATATTCAAAGCGAAGTGTTTTAAGACGAATTCAAAACATCTTCAACAAAATCCTCCTTCATATTTGTGCCAAGAAGGTCACATATATCACACTGCTGAATTTTTGGCCTGGCAAAATTCTCCCTCTTCTGAAGACAAAATATGTTCTTTGTTGCCCACGATAAACAATACAGATGTTTGTTTCAAGTGAAGAGGACAACAACTCCTGATAGCGGCTAAAGCACCAGGAAATTATTTGTGCGTGGATAAATAACGACTTTCTTATTAGAGAAACTGAAAGAATAACATCAAATCCGGAAAGGGGAAAAATGCCCATCGCATATTTTCTGGGAATATTTCCACAACAGACCGTGTAAGAATTACTGGAAATGTATTTCTCATGCTTCTGCGTTCAAAGTGATATAATTATTTGGATTCCTATCAGTTTAAATTAAAAATAGATAGTAAGTACAACTAAGAAATGCTCGAAAAAAAATCCGAGCCCCCAGCTGGAATCGAACCCACGACCTTCCACATACCGGTAGGACGCTCTAACAACTTAGCTATGGTCGACTCACATGGCGAGTAGGTCGCAGGTTTGGGGGTAACTACAGTACTTCGTATCTCGCGCGTACGCTGGACTAAGTTTCTTGTCCCATCAGTTTATGTTGATTATACCATCAACACCTACTGCAGGAAATCGAAAGACAACGAAAACGACTTGAAAGCACACAAAAAAAACGCAAGGGAGCTGCAGAATAAGAAAAAACGAGAAAAATCCAACGCAAGGCCAGTAGAAAATATGTCAATAGCGGGTTTAAAGCACTTGCTAAAAGTAAAGGAATTGCTTTCATTTCAAAAGCAACTTGTTAATCTTTACAGCACAATTGCCACACAGAATCATACCACTGCATCCCAGCAAACCTGCAGGACGAGCAATATTAGGGCTAGAAGCGTAATTGTTTTAGCTACTGCAGCTATGGGTGTCAATGCCGCTGCTTATGACGGAAGGCTTCCTAAGCCGAAGCAGCAGTTCTTTGTTGAGAAAAAGCCACCGCATGGGATTTCCAACCATCTGGATTATTCCTGTGCTTACTAGAACGCTATATGTTATGTACTTCGACGAAAAGGTCACACACTCGGTACAAATTTCTAGTCCACGCGTCGTTAGTAAATCTTGTTTAATCCACTGTTTCCTTTCACCGCTCCTTCAAGAGCAAATACAAATACATCGGCGATACTCGATACTTGAAAACTTGTTTATGCAACCGCATCAAACTGAACTATCAACCTACAAAAGGGAAAATAGAATCCACGCGAAAACATCGACGCTTAAGCTTAAAATTTTGTGGCCGAGAGACCACAACTTAGTCACGTGCTCGAAAACAAAGAAAATACATTAACATAATTAAAATTCGCGGGAAAAAGACACGATACTGTAAGTTACTGCCAAACAGAGGGGAAGTTACCGATTCACAATGTGAAGTTAGGTTATCACAAACTGCATGTTCTCCTGCTTTATTAAGAAACGTAAAAATGCTTGAATCGAAATGAGATACATTTGTGGGCAGTGCAGTTAATGTTTTCCCTCTATTTTCTCTCTCCCTATTTTAAACCTGGATAAATCGAAAGAACCACCTTAAACGCGGAAATCGTTTACCCGCCGGTAGGTACTCAGCGGTGGCTGTTTCTCAAGAACGACACCGACCTCTAATAGCCAAGAGAGTAAGACAGATAACTTAACCTTCTGAACATTTCGTTTTTGATATTTCAGTTACTGTCCAATAAATAAATTTGATTTGCGACAAGTTCAATTCCTATTTGGCTATTATTATCGCCAGGAACCATTAACGTAACTTTTTTATCACCGGAAACAAGTTCAGAAAAAAAATTGCTAGAAATTGTATGAGATGTGTAATCAATGACTAATCGATGGATAATCATTAGACAATCGATAAGTAATCAAACAAGACAATTACTCACCGATGACATCAACAAGATGATAAGTAATCGACAGGCCACAAAATTTTTGGCCATCGATTAGTCCTCGATTACCCATTGATTATAGCGAATAATCCATGACCAATCAATTGATTACTCAATGATCACTCATCGATTACTCATTGATGTCATTCATCATCGATTTGTTACGTCTGGCTGGTTATCACGTCAGAAGCCTTTGTCTTGAGCAGTAGTCACCTCCTAAAGATGATTACACTGATTTATCCAACGTACTCCAGATAAATAAATCAATGAATCACTGGACACGGTAGCCTGCGCCACAGACGAAACTAGACTCTCGTCAAGTCCGTCTGCGAAACCGCGCCGAAATCCTTGTTCTAGTCCCCCTTCTGTGAACCAGATTTGAGTACGCGGCACGATTGGCCTGTTAAAAAAGCCATTAACGATTTGCCATTCAGGTTGAATGGAATTTCGAAACGCATTTCCGGTAATTCGTTAAGCCCATTGGGGGCCCAGAACAAGGATTTCGGCCTCGCTTCGCAGACGTCACTAAAGGGGGTTAAATTACGTCTGCGACACAGGCTATGGACACACAAGCACAAACGTCGTCGAGGTGTGCACTACAGCTAGCCAGTTGATTCACCGAAGATAGAGAGCTCAATTTTTAGGCCACCACACTTACCTTTACATTCCACACGAGTGCCACTCCAGGCCATTATATTATTCTCATCAACAATACATTGTCTGGTCTTGCTCCCTGATAACTCATACGCCTGGTCGCATTGAAAAGTGCATTCTGACTGGTATGTTTTGTTACAAGATCCCAATATTGTGCCATTGGCTGGAGCTGACAGTGCATCGCAACTTCGTACTGTCAAGGTAAGAATACAAAAACAAGAAAATCTAATTATTTAAACGCTAATGGCGAGGAAGCCCAACGGAAGCCATCTGGCTTATAATGAATGGGCTCTGTCAGTTATATTATTAAAGCAAAATATTATCATAATTACACATGCAAAAATCAATGGCAGAGCTACAATAAATCTTAAAATATATTAGATAATAGTTTAACGTATTTCCAGGCGAGCCTTAGTGGATCTTAGTGAGAAAGAACACTATTTGAGAGAATTCTGTTGCGCAATGGCTTTGATCTTTATGTGACGTCACATTTATTTGTTGTACGCATTTTACACTAAAATGTTGCTGCTGTTCGCTTGGAAGAGTTGAAAGGCAAGGGGTTTCCTTTGTTTTTACTGCTGACATGTTCCTAGGGAAATACTTATTCAAGGTATGATCAGTTTTCCTTCGAGTGAATTTCAGCTAGCTTGCTTGTCTTTGGTTATATTCGCAACGACAAACAGAACCTGTCATTTAAGTGATTTTGCTAGGGCTACTTCGCTACTCGTATAAACATTCCAATAGCACGCCTAAAAGGTGAAACAAACTTCATACCGGAGAAAAAACATTTGCTGTCATCCTTCTACCACCCTCAAGCACCCACTTCTTTTAAATAAAGGAGGCCGCTGCCTTTTAATACGGAATACCCAAGGACTTTTGAACTAGCCTAATTTCTCAAGATCACAAGCATTATAATGCACTGATGCGTATGATGAATTCTTTTCCACCCTGGCCCGGTTCCTCGAATGATAGATACGGTAAATTAAACCCAAGATAAAAAGAACTTTTAAGCACACTTTTCTTGTAAGCACACTTTTCTTGTCTAAGAACATTTACCTCAAGCTCAAAAAATACTGTTAAGCCTTTACTCTGAGATAAAGTAACGATAATAAAAAATGTCACTCTATGCAATGCAAGGGAATGTAAATACAAAAAGTGGAATAAAATTGTAATCCTGGATTAGCGCTAATCGGCCTTTCAGGAACCGGGAATAGGTAGTTTCCTTTAATGCATTATGATCCTGGTGATCGTGTATCGGATCCTAGCCAAGGGAGCGCACCAGAACTTACCCAACATAACTCTACAACAATGCTAAAGTCTCGAAGCTGAAACCACAAACATAGAGACTTTCAAATTATTGTTTGCCTCTCAATGTAGCAACTTGAGATGTAAAATCACATGGAAAATGCAAAAGAACTTCAGTTGTATTTTTAACTGCCCCAGTAGGGTAATGTTACAATACTCTAGGGAGTAGTCTCTTAATAGAGAGGGTTAAGCATCACGTTTACGTCAAACGACAAACGTGAATTTGTACCACGTGAACAAGTTTCCTCTTTACGTTTTGCTTACTGTTTATTACTTCTACACCTAAATTAGAAGTTTGACGCAATTTTTTATCCATAAGAATTGTTTTCAGCTATTTTTATCTTTTCATTTTCTATTTTGAGAAATTCTCAACTGAATCTGAAGTTTGCCGTTGGCCGTATACGTGTAGCTTTAACTCTCTAATAAGAAATGATCCGGGAAAGACGGGAAGCAAATTCTTTTGGAATGGTTTCATTTTCGCAAAGAGAAAGCGTTAACCCAAATAAAGGCAGTTTACGAAATAAAAGTATTTAAGGTGTGTTTTGAAAGGCCATGTCTCTTTGTTAAAAGTTTCGACCAATCATAATAACAGCCAAGAAAAGTTTACAATTTCACATGTTCCTCACAAGAGGTTTCTGTGTTATTTCGACTAAGACAAGATTTTGTTATAAGGAAGTTGGTTGTGAGACTAAAAATTAATATACAGGTTGCTTTGAACCTTTTTGCATTCTGACATTTCCTTACCATTGTTGCTTTGCTTCTTATCTGAACAGTGAAAATAACATACAAGCGAATAGGGTCTTCTCTGTGACTGTCTTCATGGCGAAGCTCTGGCGCGCGAAGCGCGCCTGCGGAGCACCATGGGTAGGTAAATCTACCCATCCGAGAAAATTTGGTAATCACGTGACCGTACACCGCCCGCAGTCCGCCCGTCCGTCCGCACCACAGGAGAACCGATGTTCAATCTCACACTTTCTAGCTAGTTTGGTAGCACGGGAAAACTGATATTGCACACATATAGTACATCAATATTGTGATCAATTGATAGCTGTCAAAAAAGGGTATCCGCTAACCAGTATCACCTGACCGTATCGCGGGCTCAGGTGTCGACCCATCGAGGTCGAGTATCTTTTTGTAGTTATCCGCTGACAAGTTACTAGTTTTCAAATGCTCGCTGGCTCAAGTTTAATTTTTTTTAATTCATATGAAATATGTTGTGTTTTATATGTGTCGCACAATTAAAATTTTGATTTTAAACTGACCTCGGAAGCTAAAATTCAGCCAGTTTTTACAGGCAGGGAAGACATGCAAGTTGCTTTTGACTTTTCTCACCAAGGTCACGCGCTGGTCACGCTCTACGTCCAATTTTAATGCTCTGATTGGTCAAAATTTGACAGGTGAGTTCATGCGGAAAATTTATGCAGCATCTTGAAACTTGTTTACTTTGACAGCTGAAGCTGACAGAGTTTTGTGTCAACTTGTGATGTTTTTAACTGTCTTTCTCCGCTGAATGTACAAAATGAAATTCTTGTGCTATCAAGAGTCTTCTGTTATTCATAGCTCGTTTGTTTATTGGGTTTTTGGTTGAGAAATACGTCGCTTGTCAAAGTCGGAAATCAGATTTCGGATTGCATCGTTTTCGTTTTTCACTTTGCTTGATGCGTAAGAGGGTTGAAAAGTCTCAAGCGATTCTGGCGTTACTTGATAGTTTTCAGAGCATCTCGAATGCTAAGCCTGAGTAATTATTGTATTTGATGTTTGTTTTTTATATCTAATTTAATGAAGTCGGGCGTAGTTTATGCGGCTATTTAGTTTATGCAGGTTTGTAAGATTTGAGACAATGATCGATTTGACCGAGTATCAGGTTTGATTATAAGCTTATAGAACTTTAAAAAGCCTTTAGACATTTTCTCACTGCAAATAGAATGAAAACGTTCCAAAGAATATTTAGTTATAATTCTGGCTGTAAAAGAAAGCTTTGAGCGGTTTTCTTGCCTCGAGTTCAACTTTGAAAAAAGCAAACGCCGGGAAGCCGGCTTAAAACATAAACAAGGATTTTCAGAGACACTTTTTGCTTGTCTTCGTGAATGAAAATTGTTGTCTCTGTATATGTTTCACCGAATTATTATCCTTTTATTGATTATTAGTAGTCTCTTTCGCAATTTTAATCGCTGTGCTGTTTGTTTTCAGTCGCTCACGAACATCGCTTGCAGGAGTAGTCAAAATCCGCGTGTATCAAACGCTTTTGAAGATTACACATTGTTATAAAACCGTTAAATAAAGAAATAAACATAATAAATTTGTTATCATGTTAAAGCGTATAACTCTATTAATCTTGATTTAAACAGTCGACTTAGGCGCTTGTCAAAACTGAGAACCGGCAAGCCGTATAGGTGATTTTAGAAATTTTTTAACGGTTTCGGTAAAAGCCCACGCGTGCTTCGATCGACCTGAATGTTGAATGAGTACAATTTGTATTGCAAAATTGTGATCTGTCCGAGGTCTGTATGATAAAAACAGTGCCTCATGGTATTGTTTCACCTCAGATGATGTATAAAAAGTATAAAAGGTTGGTTTACACGTCCACAGACTTGTTAGCAAGATCTTGCAAAATAAATTGTCAACTTGTCGAACGCAAAAAATTGGCCCTGATTTGTTTTCCGAGAATTTGTTTTCCAGTTAATCTACTGTGATCAAGAGCCATTATGGCTCTTGAATGTGATCGAAGATGATTGCTATTTTTTGAGTGTACATATAAGGCTATCAACTCGATGTAAGATTAAGTTCACTCTTAGCTTGGACTGTTTGCAAATTATTTTTCTCTAAAATCACTTAGCCTTTCCCTCAAAAGCCACATGAATGTGCTCAAAAGTTAACTGATTTGTAACATACAATTGCAAGTTTATTGTTTGATTTAAATTATAAATTCGAGTTAATAGGAGCTTCGCTTTTAGCCCTGGCTAAATCTATATATTATTCGCTCCAAAAACCCAATGAAAGGGTCCAGATCAACTTACAACTTACATCGCACAACTTTACTGCATCTTGTAAACATTTTCATCAGTTTCAACCTGGTGTGCGTTCTAAGCGCAGATAAAAGTGTCGATAGAGAAGGGAAGTGCAACGCCAAGTTATACTGGTAGCAAAATTTCTAGATCTCAACAATGATAGGAAGTTTAAGACGGCGTTTAAGAGTTTAAAACGTCACTTAAAAAGTGCGTTCTTTGACACTTCAGCCCGATTAACTTAACTCGCTCACTTTGTCTAATGTAGGCGAACTCTTCTGGAGTTGAATTCTTACAAAAAATTTTAAGGTTTAAAAAGAGCAGAAATTCGTCATCGCATGTACACGTGATCGATAAAACATGAAATTATGCAAACATATGCATACAGTGACGGTAAAGAAATGTACAAAAAAGTGTCATGCTCGTGCAAAGCTGTTGTTTTGCTAATCTTTAACTACATACATACATATCTCGAATTACAGAGTAGCCAAAAATTGGTTCGTATCTCCGAGATAGAAATAAAATCCTAAAATGAAATATACCATGGTATACACTAACTAGAGAAAATACTTAACTCTTAATACAATTAATTAATTAATCTGTATCGCCGAATTGTTAAACTAAAATCATGCAAAGACGAAAGGGTTCTCAGTTTGTCAGGCAACGCGTTCCAGAACTTAGCAGCAGTATAACTAAAAGAATTTAAGCCATAAAAAGAAGTAAAAGGTTTAGGAAGACTAAGGATATCAGTACCTCTCATCGAGTAATCGACAGATCTCAGAGAAAGCAATTCTTTAAGATACTGCGGATACTGTTCAAGATGAAGACATTTGAAGATAATTATAAGCATGTTCTCTATCCACCTGTTCCTGAGGGAACAGTATCTAATCCGTTGCAATAGGTCACCGTATGATGAGACTTTGTCATTTAAGATGACCCGAAGAACGGGTTTGTTCAACATTTCTAGCTTATCCTTATTTTGAGAGTCACAAAAATGCCATACGGTAGAACAATACAGGAAGTGTGGTAATATAAATGCTTTGTAGAGGCGTAATAATACAGTGGTAGGTACGACATTGAAACCTATTGCTTTTTTGACGTTCTCGTTGCCATGGTAACATCTTATAATGCCCTATTGGAATATCCAAACAACTCAACATGTTTAGAACTGTAGTAGTTCTCTCCCCGACTGAAGGACTTCGGCTCATCAGCGAAGAAAGATGGGAGCGCACTGATCGACATGGCCGCCATATTTGCAGGACCACGTTTTGCTGAGATCCAGAAATTTTGCTACCATGGCAACATGACGTAACGACATCTCACCCCCATATTCACTCCTATTCCTTACTTGTACAGTTGATTTGATCTTGTGAGTGCCAGTATCCCTCAAAGCACTCGCATGTATCAATTGAGATTTTTCCCATGCCTGAGTGGCCGGAATTAACAGGGCAAGCGGTACAAGAGTCAGCATACCCAACGAAATCCTTGTACGTCGATGGTGGGCATTCTGCAAAACAAAACACAAGGGTGAGCAAGCACTTGAACTTCAGGCAACCGAAGTTTATCAAAGCTGTTACGTAATAATAATTAGTTGCTACCGCACGAGCGAGCCTGGAGCGAAAGAGCAAGGCATTAGAGCTAATCCGCACAAGGACAAAAATTGTCGATTTCTACCCACAATGCATCTGTTTCTTTTAACCACAATGCAAAGGATTTTTACCACAATTCCTACGCCTATTACCTTTATACACCGAACTCCACTGGCGTTTTCGGTTTCATGAAGTTCGTCATTGAGGTTAGTTGAAATCCTCGATTTAATAAGTCTTTGGGATGAATTTCTCTTTTACATTATGTTGTCATAAAGCATTTTGACGACCTTTAAAAGTGGCTTGTGGTAGCTGTTTATATATTTTCTTCAGTGCATAGTAACAACTGAAGATATTATCAGAGAGAGAAATGATCAAAATTGTGGTGGAAACGGAACGCTTCGGTCCAGTTGGAAATTACTTGTGATTGAAAATTGTCTTTTCATAACTATTTTATTGCCTTTTTTAAAAAGGCTTTGCTTTTCCCTTCAAAAACAAACCTCAATTTTGACATTAAAATTACGTCTATTGTATTGCAACCAGCATGTCTGATATGAACAATCAAAATAAGTTGAAATAATCATTATTTTTAAGGAACGGCTTGCAGTGTGATGGAATGCGTACAACAAATCATTGACTGTAAAAATAACGATATTGGGCATGCCCCAAATCTGACATCCACTGTGAAAATTGAGAAGTAATTATTATTTATGTCTTGTTAGATACACGATTTTTAATAAAATGGTTTCACTGACACCATCGAAGCACTCTTTTACCTGTTAGGGTCACTAGTTTTAGTATATACTAAAACAGTGAATAGTAAGCGCGCCCTGATTTGTTACTCAAACTCGGAATATCCAGTACTATTCACCTCCGAGCAACGCCAAGCTCGCGTTAAGTTAAGAGCAAAATACATTTTCGGTTTGCTACCGTACAAAAAAATGAGGAAATTTTAACAAATAAACGAAGAAGCTGTTCCCGACAACAGGAAGAAGGCGGCGAAATTTGATTTGGCATTTTTCGCAGGTAAGCAAATGCAAGTCAAGTCTCGCGTTGTTTTATTTAGCTGGCATGTTAATAAAAAGCTTAAAACCAAATTAAATGATTTTCTAAAAAAATGGTTTCAAACACAGAAAGAATTCCGGCAGAGTTCATTCTGATGAAGAAATGACCCCGCAAGAGCCAAACAAATGTCTTCAAATGTTTTATTTGTCGGCAAGAAAACGTGACGGCCGTGCGGCACGTCATTTGTGCGCCAAACTTGTAGTTTTCGCCAGCGATAAATGAGTTAATAATCATAATCATTTTTTGTCCACTTATCTCACTGTTAAGCTTCGCGGCCCGGTAAATAGGTATCACATAGCTATCACTAACCACCTCCAGTTCAATAAAAAATTATCGAGCTGCCTGTGGCATCCCAATTATGGAATGGGCCTTCTCAGTCGAAAAAAAGACAAAATTGCGGACGACTCACCCACAAGGCGTTTAGTGTCCCACTCCCCCTTCAGCTGGGGACGATTTTTGCTGGAAGGGGACGGGTATTTCAGGTCGTCTGGTGAACAGATTTGAAAGTCGATTTGGAACAAACACAAAATCACTGCGTGGAGTTATTGGCCCTATATCCACAGCTAATGAGTATCTAATTGTAGCGTTCGATGTTGTTATTAGCCTGTGCAGGAGCTGAAGAAACAGTACATGTACATTAGCTGTTTTTATGCTAGAGACGTTAAAGTCGTCTAGACGCATTTAACGTCTGAGACGTTAAAGTTGTCTAGTGTAAAAACGGGACGCACAAAAGTAGACGACCTCATTAAAAAAAGTCGATTTTCTGAAAAAAGGACTAGGCTCTACTCTCGGTAGACACTGGACACGACTTAAAGCGGCCCCAAAAATGAACTTCAAGCTAGCAAACTTCCTAGTTTACGACGTCCCGTCTTTATACCAGACGACTTTAACGTCTGAGACGTTAAAGTCGTCTGTTAAGTGCGTCGTTCGGACGCACTTAACAGAAGA